ATCCATCCATCCATCCATCCATCCATCCATCCATCCATCCATCCATCCTTATTTCTTCCTTCCTTTTTCACTTTTTCAAATAAAGAAACTTTTGTTTTTTCCCACTCCTTTTTATAGCATATAATTTTTTCTTAACAAGTTGAAGTTTCCCAGGTTTGGCCACTGGCCAGGGAGAGACCGTTTATAAATAGAAATATTTCTTAAACAATCATGTTTCTCTCTCAGAGCCCCCACTTTGGCTATCTGTCTGAAAAAATCCACTTTCCAGCTGACATCCCAAATGCAGTTTGATTCTTGAAACAAATAGGCCTGTGAAATAGTCTCTTTCTAATCTGATCATCCCCTGTACTGTCTGCGGAGGCAGCTGGCAGACTATCTGGATTGGAATCGAGAGCGGTTCTCCTTATCTGACTTCAGGTGTCAGACACCAAAGTGCTAGTTAAGGATTGCTTATCTGCAAGAGTGGATGACAACCAGGGATTTGCGCTTCGTATAACAACCACTGGCAAATTGTCAGGAGTGCTGTCTACAAGTGTAATGCTTCCTCTTTGGAAAATGTAAGGCAGGTAATTTCCCTTCAACATGTGGAAATAAGGAACCTCCCCCCCCCCTTTCTTTCCCCAATCTGGTGCCCTTGTAGAGGATTGGGAGTTCGTGGCCGTATCCTGCCACCAGATTTTCATAGATTGTGGACAGAACTAATTCATAGGTGATACGTTTTCCATTTCATCACTTCTTGCTTTTCACATCCCTTGGAATCCCTAATGCAAGGGTCCCCAACCCCTGGTCATAGCTCTTGTTTGTGGGCTATTTAGAACCGGTGTAAGTTTTCCTAAAAATGCCCTAATTGATTCATGAGTATCGAGTCAAGTTTCAATACAAAACTAATCATTTATTTGGAGCATCATCTTAGGCAAGATCTTTTCGCAGTCAAGGCGAAATATATCTGAACTTTACTCCTGTTCCTTCCCTCCCCTCAGTCTGTGTCATAAATCACATTCCCCAATGAGGTGCAACCCTCCCAAGCCTGCTGCAGTCATCTGAGATCTGACTTCAGCCAACAGTATGCGTGGAATGCACTCCCCCCTCTCTTTCTCTCACTATGACAATGTTGGGAATTGACAACCGGGCTGCGCGAGCGCTGCTCCAGCTCCCATTCACGTGCCCGCAGCTTGACTTGTGCGAGTGGTGGGGCGGTGCGCTTGCACACATGCAGGCAGCTCGACTTGCACAGGTTGAGCTCTGTGGGCATGGATGTGTGTGCCAGCCCACTGCTTGCACAGCCCGCTTCCCCTCTCCCCCCCAAGCCCCAAATGTTGGGGGCTGCTGGCCTAATGGACAAATCCATGTGGGTGTCCTGAGTTCATATATTGTTAAATAGAAACATCATTCCATCCCTGGGAAACAGGACAGATTTCCAGACCGCTTTCTCTTTGGATCCTCTGTATGTCACCTCTTCTTAAAAACAGCTCGTCTGTTCACAGACTCTTTTGCATTTAATGCTCCTAATAGATTTCTTCTTGTTTAATTGGAGACTGTTTGTTTTTCTGCTTACTATTTCTTTTGCTCAATTGACTGCTATATTAAACTGCCTCTTCCTCCAACCACCCCCCCCCCCCAGCGCCCCTGGCTTGAAAATTTTTACATTGATGGACAAGTTATAAATAGGATAGCAGCCAGATTAGCAAAAATTTAGTCAATACTTTGTCTGCGTTTCCACTGATTGATTTTCTTTAACCTTGCAGTTGTGTATAAATGGTGGTGAATCAATAGATACTTTTCAGATTTCTGTAGCTCCTTTTGGCAATCCCTGCAATATGGAAGTCCATTTATGGCACCAAATAGTTTTATTAATAATACTTGGTTTAAGTCAGGTAGACAACATTTTTTTTAATCCAGCCACCTTTTTTTCCGAACCAAAACTTTATTCTGATGCGAGAGAAATTAGAGTATAGTATAAACTTTTAAAGCAATATTTCAATGTCTTCCCGTGCGTAGAAATCTTCCCAATTTCCATCATACTCCTAGTGAATTCCTTAGAGAGAAATAACATGTAGCCCAAAAATATTATTTACATGCAAGAATGAAGGGTTGAAAGTTAGAGGAATTTCTAAGATTTATGAAATACAAATGGACCGGATTCCTGCATTGCAAGAAGCCAGCTTCCCCAGTGTGGTAGCTATCATTGGTACCATCATTGCATTTTGTGGACCAAGCTATGTTCAGTCCGGTTGTGGATTGTAACCCTAACATATCTAAATCATAATGAGGTTTGATTTTGACAAGTGCACCCCTCCCCTGTTGTTTGTAATTGTGTTTGAGGGTTGGTTATGAACTGAGGCCACAGGCAGGTTTTAAGAGACCTTCATAAAAATAAAACGTGGGTGGATATTAAGAACTAGTCGTAATTTTTGGTGGGTGGTGGAAGACACAAACAGAAGAGAAAAAAAAATGAATTGTAGCCCAACTTGCTGCTTTATTACTACATGCTCATATAATAATATAATACTAAAACCCCCTACAGAAAAAGCGGAATTTAAACTGGGCCCAAAGAGTTGGCTTCTTTGGAGAACAGAGACAGTGTTGTCCTTATTAATGTCAAATGGAATATTTAAATAGAGAGTGTTTGAGAACGAGCGGGGAAATAGTTCAGCATCAGTGGAGCCTGGATCCCAGGGCTATTGCAAGTTGATGGAACAGAGCGAAGATGATTTTCTTTTCATTTATTTTGTCAGATTGCCAGTGTTTTGGCTTCGAAAAACCCTTCCGTTCTTCTTACTCTGGTAAGTGCTAAGAGGCATTCCTGGTGGAGATAGGGGTATGTTTCTCCAGTGTATTTTACTAAATGCTGTAGTCCCGCCTTTTTATTTTACTTTTGCAATAAATTAGCAGTGTGCTCCCCTGGCCTCCAGTGAAGGCTTTCATCCAATTTCCTTTGCAAATGATCTGTTCTAACTTCTGAAAAAAAGCCACCCGCGCTTTCCCTGGCAACCAGTTACGGGAAGAGAGAAAGAAGTGGCTGTCTGAATGCAGGTAGATGTGCACAGGGATACTGCTGGCCCTGGTCCCACCCAGCCCTAACCTCACCTCACTCCAGCCCTGTAGTGTAGACCTTGCAAGAAAAAAAAGCATTGCTAACTACAATAAAAAGGATGTCCCAAAGTTGTTTTTTTTTTCAAGAGGCATCTCGTCCAAGAAGCTTCTTCTGCTCTTTCCCACCATTCAGTCAGAGTTGAAGAAGCTCCTTGGATGAGAAGCGAAAAACCAGAAAGTTCACTTGCCTCTTGAAAAAAGCACCTTGGGATAACCACGTCCTGGATGATGGAGAATCTCCATAGACAATAAAAAGGATGGATTCCCCCCCCCCCCAAGCTGAATAAATACCTTTTTATTGTTTCTTGCTATTATTTAAAACATTGTGTGGAAAGTGGATAAAATTGATGCCCTTGCATAGGTACAGGTAGTCCTCAGACATACAACAGTTCATTTAGTGATGGTTCGAAGTTACAATAGCACTGAAAAAGGGACATATGAGCATTTTTCACACTTATGACTGTTGCAGCATTCTCCATGGTCATGTGATTTGCATTTAGATGCTTGGCAACTGATTCACTTCTATGACGGTTGCAGTGTCCCAGGGTCATGGCATCCCCTTCTGTGAAAGGAAAGGAAAGTCAATGGGAAGCCAGGTTCACTTAACAATGGTCTTAATAATTTAACAGCTGCAGCGATTCACTTACCGTATTTTTCCGAGTATAAGACGCAGCAAGATTTTGAAGAGGCAAATTAAAAAAAAGTTTTGGCACTCTGCATACCTCCCCCCAAAAGGCCCGGTTTTCGCAAAAATGGGCCCATTTTTTATTTAAAAAGGTTTTTCCCACCCAAAAGAAAGTCCAAGCCTCTGCCCAGCACCCACATGTCCGTCACATGGCCCAATCAATTCACTGTCCGAGTCATGCCTCTCCAGATGCAGGTGGAACGGCGTTGACTTCCAGAGAAAGGAATGCTGTTATGGCTAATCCTCCACCAACTCCTTGTAATCCCCCTTCCCAGTTTCTCACAGACTAAAAATGCCAGGCCGGAAGAGCCAATGTCTAAGGCCTGACATAGGTATTACGTATATCCATCTTTCCCGGCTGGGCACCAAGAAGAAGATAGGGGAATGACCAGAGTGGAAGTTCAGCTCCAGGGAAGGGAGAAAACTGCTTGGGTGAAGGTCTTATCTTGGCTGCTTTTAGACCGAACAGCTGCTGAAGAACTTGTATTTGCTCTCTTTTTTCCAGCGAGGAATTAACACCGACAGTGGAAGCGTGACCAGGGAAGCATCTTTTGACAAAATCAGCGAGTAAGTTATCTTCTGGCTTTGAAATGTTGAGATGAATCCCCAATTGACTAATTATCTGAAAGATCTAATAAACAAAAATAGAAGCCCGCCATTCCCAGTTCAGATGATATCACTTCGATTGTATTTCCTCCCCCATGGTAGCAGAAAACAGAAGGAAAAAGAAGCCCGATTCTATGTATAGACTCATAACAAACATTTGTGAATCAAATCACTTTATTCCAAAAGAGTGGAGCATTTTAGCGGTTTATAATGGATTGCAACCTATTTGAAGCACAGTGAAGCGTTCCATAGGAGAATCCTTTGCAAGTTAAATGAATTATATTGCAGTACAAAGAACAACATGCCAGTGGAAAACATTAATTAGTCCAGGGTGAAGGTGCTCCCTGGCTTTTCTATTTCAGTGTGCTGTTGTAGCTATGATGTCTATGTGTCTGCTTTGTTGCCCCCATTTTTGTATGATAACTGCTTTCCCCCCTTGCCCCGCTCAACTTGCTCAGAATTCTGTGACTTTATTCATTCATTTATCTATTGCATTTATGTGCCACACATCTTATAAGCAGTGATTCTGGGCACTGTGCAACAATGAATAAAACAACATATATGTACAGAAACAATCATTATAAAAATAGAAAATGTCATATTAAAATAAAATTAAAAAAAATTAAAATATACAAAATACATGAAAAGAGTTGGGCATGGCTAGTCTAGTGAGGAGAGACATGATAGCAGTCTTCCAATATTTGAGGGGCTGCCACAGAGAGGAGGGAGTCAACCTATTTTCCAAGGCACCCGGAGGTCAGACAAGGAACAACGGATTGAAACTGAAGAAGAAGAGATTCAACCTGGAAATAAGGAGTAATTTCCTGATAGTGAGAGCAATCAACCCATGGAACAGAAGTTGCCTTCAGAAGTTGTGGGAGTTTCATCGCTGGAGGCTTTCCAGAAGAGAGTGGGCTGTCATCTGTCAAAAATGGTGTAGGATCTCCTGCTTGGTGGTGGGTTTGGACTAGATGACCTACAAGGTCCCTTCCAACTCTGTTAATCTGTAATCGGAGCAAAAGATCAACCTGAGTGAAGCCACCTAGGAATGCCTTCAGCTCCCTGGGATGTCGTAGCCCATGGGGAATACATGATCCCAAAACATAACCAGATCTTGAGGGACTTTCAGAAAATGATGACAGTTGGAACTAACCTGACTTGAGTGGAGGAAATATTCCTCTGGTGGCCCCATGGTAGAGAAGGTGCAGTTCCTGGGACCCACCGAATGTAGGTCCCTGGCTGAGGGTCCTTGTGACCGGCCTTTTCTGCCAGTTCTAATGGGATGGGATGGTGCAATTGAGGAGAGGCATTTATAATATTTATAATATCTCAGATATTATAAATGTAGAGGATTATATCCCTAATATAAGTGGTCCTCGACTTACAACCACAGTTGAGCCCAACATTTCTGTTCCATTTGTTAAGTGAGCTTTGCCTATTTCACAACCTCTTGCCACACTTCTTAAGGGAATCACCACGGTTTTTAAATTAGCAACACGGCGTCTCTGGCTTCCCTGCTGACTTGGCTTGTCAGATGTTTGCAAAAGGAGACCACGTGACCATGGGACACTGCAGCCGTCATAAATGTGAGTCAGTTGCCGAGCATCTGAGTTTTCATCAGGTGACCATGGGGATGCAGCAATGGTCGTAGGTGTGAAAAATAAGTCATAAGTCACGTTTCAGTGCTGTGGTCACTTTGAACTGTTACTGAATGAACTTTTGTAAACCGAGGACTACCTGTACAGGAAACTCTCTCACAGTTTTGTGCAGAGTGACTACTTTGAATGCAAAAATGTATCCCAGTTCCACATCTGACTTGGGCCAGATGCTATGTTAAAAGCCCCCTGAATACATACGCAGGTGTATAATGGCCTCCGTTTCATATTTTTTTTAAAGGAAAAGTGTCAGGATTCCAAATAGCATTCAAAAGCAAATCAGAGTCCAAGGCAAAGAATTCTTCAAAGTTCCAATTCATTAAGAGAGCCATGTTGGCCATCTGGAAAAACCCAAATCTGAAAGCTTCCTGCTTTTCCCCACCCAGTTGAAAGTTCAAGATCTTGCCCCCACACCCACCAGTCCATCCCATGGTCCAATCTCCCCCTGCCATGCTGGCAGCTTCCACCCATCCAGTTCTGGTCAGGTGCAGAGGTACAGAGGCAAAGGATGACCTTGGCTTTCTAGAAAGAATTTTGTTTTGGCTACATATCATCTAACTCTGTACAATCCCCCCTCTCATTTCCCCACAATAGAGATAATAGAAAGTGTGGCAGGCAAAAAATCCAAAAGAAAAGATGGCTGCAGGCCTGACAAAAAGAAGAATGGGGCCTCTTCTGTCTTCCTCATTTCTTGCAAAGAGATTTCCAGTCATCCTGGCAGTTCTGTCTGTCTGGATTAGCAGAGGCTTCCTTGCATTCTATCCATGGGGCATCGACTGATCTCCTTGTCGCCTTTTGACAGCTATGGATCATCTCTGCCTTCTGTCAGTAAAAGAGCCGCCTTGATGTGGTGAGCACTGCTTGCAGCTTCTCACATATCAGGGCTCCCATCCTCAATCTCTCGTTAGGCTTCTTCCAACCTCTTGGCACGGTATTCTTGGCTGAGGGCCAGTCTCCAAGTCCTTTATCTACATTGGGGGTGGGGGGCTTTGATATGGAGCGCTGGCACCTAATTGGGCTATAAGGGAAAAACCTTCCCAGTTTCTGCATCCTCTGTAAGAATCTTTACGACTAATCTACATGGAAACAGCCTGTCACATATCTCTACTTCAGAAAAGATAACAAAGGCTGCTTTGGGTTTTTCCAAAAGAAAACCACGGCTTCTCTATTTGGAGGAATTTGATGGCAGCGTTATTGCTATTCTGGTCATTGAAGATGGGTAACGTTTTGGTGGGAGGGTTCTTTTTCATTTTGAATGACTTCATTTGCATTTCCAAAACTGCTATGCAAACTAAGCTTCAATATTTATAGATTTCTAAATGTTATAGTTTGGGGATTTGTATGATTTTTATAAAAATTTAACAGGCAAAAAGTGCACCAAGAATATAAAAGTTAGTGAAATGAATATATAAAAAAACATAGTCAATAGGGTCTACGACAACTTGCAGTGGGACAGTAGTAATATTGAAGAAATAGTGGAATAGAATCATTAAAGAAAGGATATCAAAGAGGGACAAAATGAAATGTGACTGGCAGAAGTTAAAATATTTTTAAAATTATTTTAAATAATTATATTGAATTGTCCTGCAATGAGTTATCCCATGGCGAGTTGACTGTAGTATATTGCCCACGGTGAGTTGGCTGAGGTGAGCTACCCCATGCTGTAGCCAATACAGCAAGGATTAGCCCAGGGGTTGGCAACACTTAAATACTCAAAAGGTCCTAACCGGAAGCCCCCTGTTCAATTCTGGAGCCGACTGGAAGTCCAGTTCCCCCACCATAGAGTCTCCTCCTAGCATGGCATCCTTTTTCTCCTGCCGACCAGAAGTCCAGTTCCCCCACCATAGAGTCTCCTCCTAGCATGGCATCCCTTTTCTCCTGCCGACCAGAAGTCCAGTTCCCCCACCATAGAGTCTCCTCCTAGCATGGCATCTTTTTTCTCCTGCCGATCAGGAGTCCGGTTCCTCCATCATAGTTTCCTTCTAGCGTAGCGCCTTTTTCCTCTGCTGACTGGAAGCCCGGTTACCCCACCATAGAGTCTCCTCCTAGTGGGGCATCCTTTTTCCTCTACCTGTCCTAACTGAAAGCCCTATCAATTGTAGAGCCGACCAGCGACAGGGAGCCTCAGCAGAGGGATGAAAGAGCCACATGCAGCTCCAGAGCTGTGGGTTGCTGACCCCTGGATTAGCCAATGCACATGGGAGTGAGGTCACAAACGAGATCCCACTGGTGACAAAGTTCTGTCCTCCATCAGGGACGTCTCCAGCCTTGGCAAGCTGGCTGAGGAACTCTGGGAGTTGAAGTCCACAAGCCTTAAAGTTACCAAGGTTGGAGGCCCCTGCTCTAGTGGGCTGTCTTTCATTAGCCCTTTGTAGAGAAGGATCCATTCTCAGCCCTGTAGGAATGGGGGAAATGTTAGGATTGAAGCTGAAGATGGACGTCTAGCGTTTGCTTTGCCTGCTGTGCCTTTCTCCAACCTGAATGGCCATTTGGACGCTTCTCGGCTTTTCCTCAACAAGGCAGCCGGCTGACACAGAAGCCATAGCTGTTTTCCGTCGTTCTTGCTCCCAGCAGGCTGTTCTCCCGGCAGACTCTTTCAATGTCCTGCTCTGCCTATTGATCTCAATTCCACAATTATTTTCTGATCTTCCTGATGCAGCTTGCAGGTCTTTGTGGCATACCTTCCTCCCTGCTTGTGAGGAACGTAGTGGGATGCTTGGAGTCGAAACAAAGATGCATTGTTCAATGTACCAGTTCTCTCATCGATGGGCTGTGTGGCTGGCTGCCTTTATGTTGAATGCTTTTCTGCATTTTCATTTTCATTTTGCCTTTGTACTAAACTACCTTTTTATTTGCCGGGGATATAATGGCCTTAAGCCCTTGCAAAAAAAGGATTCCTTGATGTTCAGAGCAGGCAAATCTCATTAGATCCGCTTTTTTTTGTCACCCTATGGTGACTCTCTTCTGCAGAGTGCCAGAATCGCATGGCCTTGAGGAGCTCAAGTGATTATTGGCTAAAATTACTCTATTTTATTCAACTTCCAGAGGCGTGTTGAGAGCAGGGCTGAGCAGATCTGGCTCTCTTCTTGAAATTGAATGCTGCCTTTTAAGCATTGATAGGATTATAGCCAAGGCATGGAGCAAGATCATACGGTAGTAATCAAATGTATTTCTGTAGCCTGGTAGGCAGAAGAAAGTCTCAAATGTTGAATGCTACAAGAAGTAGTTAATTTCTTAGCTGGCATTCTTGAAGATATTGATTCACACCTGACATTTTTTGGCTTTACAGGAATTCCCTTTCATTTTTGTTGAGAAAGAAACATCACCTGTGGATTACTGTTTACTATTGTTCAACCTTCCTGTCAGGCTCCAAAAACTAAGAAAAAAGACATAATTCTTCCAAGCAGATGTCTTCATTGTTCCTCATCCAATCACTCAGAATAGAACTGGAAGGGACTTTGGAGGTCTTCTAGTCTAGCCCCCTGCTCAAGCAGGAGACTATACTATTGCAGACAATTGGCTGTCCATCCTCCTCTTTAAATCCTCCAACTCCTGGAGGCAAGCTGTTGAAATGTTCTCACTGTTAGGAAGTTTCTCCTTAATTCCAGGTTGCTTCTCTCCTTGGTTAGTTTCCATCCATTGTTTCTTGAGCCGAGGTGGCGCAGTGGTTAGAGTGCAGTACTGCAGCCACTTCAGCTGACTGTTAGCTGCAATTCGGCGGTTCAAATCTCAC